GGGATGCATTAACAGGTGTGTTGTGAGCAAGACACGAGAAGTCATTCTTCCGCTCTAACTCTGCGCTGGTTAGGCCTCAACTGGAGTATTGTGTCCAGTTCTGGGCACCGCATTTCAAGAAAGATGTGGAGAAATTGGAGAGGGTGCAGAGAAGAGCAACAAGAATGATTAAAGGTCTTGAGAACATGACCTATGAAGGAAGGCTGAAAGAATTGGGTTTGTTTAGTTTGGAAAAGAGAAGACTGAGAGGGGACATGATAACAGTTTTCAGGTATCTAAAAGGGTGTCATGAGGAGGAGGAAGAAAACTTGTTCACCTTAGCCTCTAAGGATAGAACAAGAAGCAATGGGCTTAAACTGCAGCAAGGGAGGTTTAGGTTGGACATTAGGAAAAAGTTCCTATCTGTCAGGGTGGTTAAACACTGGAATAAATTGCCCAGGGAGGTTGTGGAATCTCCATCTCTGGAGATATTTAAGAGTAGATTAGATAAATGTCTATCCGGGACGGTCTAGACAGTATTTGGTCCTGCCATGAGGGCAGGGGACTGGACTCGATGACCTCTCGATGTCCCTTCCAGTTCTAGAATCTATGAATCAGTTTCACTTGATCGCAGCAACAGGGATCACAACATAGCAATGTGAGGTGCTCACCAGTCTTTAGGGTCTCAGTATGCTACCTCTGCAGGACTCCCATCATGGGGAATACCGGCCTGGGAATTAAAGGCAGGTCTTACAGGGTAGCATGGAAATTTAATCTAAGAGTCACCAGATTAGGCCAAGTATCAGGGGGTAGACGTGTTAGTCTGTATCTACAAAAACAACAAGGAGTCTGGTGGCACCTTAAAGACTAACAGATTTATTTGGGCATAAGCTTTCGTGGGTAAAAACCTCACTTCTTCAGATGCACGGAGTGAAAGTTACAGATGCAGGCATTATATACCGACACATGGAGAGCAGGGAGTTACTTCGCAAGTGGAGAACCAGTGTTGACAGGGCCAATTCAATCAGGGTGGATGTAGTCCACTCCCAATAATAGATGAGGAGGTGTCAATTCCAGGAGAGAAAAAGCTGCTTCTGTAATGAGCCAGCCACTCCCAGTCCCTATTCAAGCCCAGATTAATGGTGTTGAATTTGCAAATGAATTTTAGTTCTGCTGTTTCTCTTTGAAGTTTTTTTGTTCAATGATAGTGACTTTTAAATCTGTAATAGAATGACCAGGGAGATTGAAGTGTTCACTTACTGGCTTATGTATGTTACCATTCCTGATGTCCGATTTATGTCCATTTATTCTTTTGCAGGAACAAATCTACATGGACACACCCCCAGAACTCCAACCGGGGGTATTCTATCTGCTGCCCAAGATCCATAAACCCATAAACCCTGGACGCCCCATCATCTCAGGCACTGGCACTCTTACAGCAGGATTATCTGGCTATTTGGACTCTCTCCTCAGACCCTACGCTACCAGCACTTCCAGCTATCTTCGAGACACCACCGACTTCCTGAGGAAACTACAATGCATTGGTGTTCTTCCTGAAAACACCATCCTGGCACCATGGATGTAGAAGCACTTTACACCAATATTCCACATGAGGATGGACTATAAGCTGTCAGGAACAGTATCCCTGATGAGGCCACAGCACGCCTGGTGGCTGAGCTTTGTCACATAAACATCATCCTATACCGGAAACCTACTGACCGCTATACGTACCTACATGCCTCCAGCTTCCATCCAAGACACATTACACGATCCATTGTCTACAGCCAAGCCCTAAGATACAACCGAATTTGCTCCAACCCCTCAGTCAGAGACAAACACCTACAAGATCTTTATCAAGCATTCGTAAAACTACAATACCCACCTGGGGAAGTGAGGAAACAGATTGACAGAGCAAGACGGGTACCCAGAAATCACCTACTACAGGACAGGCCCAACAAGGACAATAACAGAACACCACTGGTCATCACATACAGCCCCCAGCTAAAACCTCTCCACCGCATTATCCACGATCTACAACCTATCCTCGAAAATAATCTCTCACTCTCACAGACCTTGGGAGGCAGGCCAGTCCTCGCTTACAGACAACCCCCCAACCTGAAGCAAATACTCACCAGCAACTACACACCACACCACAGAAACACCAACCCAGGAACCAATCCATGTAGCAAACCTCTTTGCCTACTCTGTCCCCATATCTACTCTGGCGACACCATCAGAGGACCCAACCACATCAGCCACACCATCAAGGGCTCATTCACCTGCACATCCACTAATGTTATATACGCCATCATGTGCCAGCAATGCCCCTCTGCCATGTACATTGGCCAAACCGGACAGTCCCTCCGCAAAAGAATAAATGGACATAAATCGGACATCAGGAATGGTAACATACATAAGCCAGTAAGTGAACACTTCAATCTCCCTGGTCATTCTATTACAGATTTAAAAGTCACTATCATTGAACAAAAAATCTTCAGAAACAGATTTCAAATAGAAACAGCAGAACTAAAATTCATTTGCAAATTCAACACCATTAATCTGGGCTTGAATAGGGACTGGGAGTGGCTGGGTCATTACAGAAGCAGCTTTTTCTCTCCCGGGATTGACACCCCCTCATCTATTATTTGGGGGGGACCACCATCA